CACCTCCCCCTGCTGTCCCGGATGCAGAAACCTGAAAGTGCCCCAAATAGAAAGCTGTGTGCAAGAATGGCGATGGCCATGACAGCCCCAAACTGGAAAGAGCTTACGTAGCCCTCAACGTGAGAATGGAGAAACAAGCCGTGGAACGTTTTTAAAAATACAATTTTATTTCAGAGAGGAAGGGAGAGGGAGATAGAAACATCAATGATGGGAGAGAGTGTTTGATCAACCGCCTCCTGCATGCCCCACACCCGGGCGGGTGCCCTGACCGGGAACCAAACCTTGACCTCCTGTGTGGAATGAGGAACTAGATCTCCACATGGAACCGAGACCACTGTTTTATAACACAGTGTACAGCTGTGGTACCAGACCTCCCACCGGAACCCAGACCACGCTCCCTGGCCCAAACTGCCCTCCCAGGACCCAAACCTCCAACAAGGCCTCAGACCTCCATCCACGTCCCAGACCATCATGGCGGGGCCAAGAAGATTATCCCGGGACCCAGGGCCCAAACACAGAATCCAGTACTGTATCAAGAGTGTAGTTCTCCATCTGTAACCCAGACCACCATTTATAACCAAGATGTCCACGTGGGTACCAGGCTGCCTCCCGGATCCTAGACCTTTTTTTTTTTCACAAACAGGAAGAGTGGGATAGGAAATTAGAAACATCGATGAGAAACATTGATCAGCTGCCTGCTGCACACCCACCACTGGGGAGGTGCACGCACCAAGGGACATGCCCCTGACGGGAATCGAACCTGGGACCCTTCAGTCCACAGGCCAACATTCTAGCCACTGAACCAAACCAGTTGTGACCAGGCCCCAGACTTTTATGGCGAGGACCAGACAACCATTCATGGACCCAGATTTGAACCCATTGCCTATCCCTTTATTGAAATCTAAATACCCAGGCTAGTCCAGACCACAATATCATCATCTCCAGGCCCTGCCCTTGACCCAAACCTCCCACCTGGGTCCATAGCGCCCCCTAGTGACCACACCTCCCTCCAAGAACCCAGGCCTAAACCCCAGGCTCAAACCTACTTCCAGGTCCCAGACCATCTCGGCGGGGCTGAGAATGCCAGCCCAGGGCCCAGGCCACAAGCAGGGAACATGGTGGTGTATCAGGGGACTGGATCTCCATACGGAACCCAGACCAATATTCCATAACCCAATATCCAGTTATGGTACCAGACCGCCCACCAGAGCCCAGACCTCCCTCCCTGGCCAAAACTGACCTCCCAGGACCCAGACCTCCATCCGGGTCCCAGACCATCATGGCGGGGCCGAGATTATCCCCGGGACCAGGCCCCAAAACAGAATCCAGTCTTGTATCAGGAGTATAGGTCTCCATCTGTAACCCAGACCACCATTCCATAACCCAGATTTCCTCATGAGATACCAGACCGTCCCCTCCCCAAGACCTCCTTCCTTGGCCCGAACTGCCCTCCAAGGACCCAGACCTCCATCTGGGGCTCAGACTTACATCAGGGTCCCAGACCTTTTTTTAATTTTTATTTTTCACAGAGAGGAAGAGTGGGATAGAGTTAGAAACATCCATGAGAAACATCCATCAGCTGCCTCCTGCACACACCTCACTGAAGATGTGCCTGCAACCAAGGTACTTGCCCCTCATTGGAATCGAACCTGGGACCTTTCAGTCTTCAGGCCCAGGCTCTATCCACTGAGCCAAACCAGTAGTGGCCGGGTCCCAGACGTATATGATGAAAACCAGAAAGCCATTCCAGTGAAACCCAGGAAAGAACACATTGCCTATTTCTTTATTAGAGCGTAAATATCCAGCCTAGTCCAGACCACCATTTCCACATCCCCAGGCCCTGCCATTGGCCCAAACCTCTCACCTGGGCCCATAGCACCTCCTAGTGGGCACACCATACCTGAGCACCCAGATCTACATCCGGAGCTCAGACCTACATCTCAGTCCCAGACCCTAATAGGCCCCCCCGGGGCCCAGGCCACAAACCTGGAACACAGAGTTGTATCGGGGAAGTAGTTCTCTATGTGATAGCCCAACAACTATTCCTCAATCAAGATGTTCAGGTGAGGTAGCAGACTGGCCCCGGGGCACAGACTTCCCTCTGGACCCGAACTGCCCTCAGAGGACTCAGGCCTCCATCTGGGGCTCACAGCTACATTCCGGACCCAGCCTATCATGGCGGGGCCGAGAAGATTATGCCAGGACCCAGGCCTGAAACACAGCATCCAGTCTTGTATCAGGGGTGTACTTCTCAATTTGTAGCCCAGACCACCATTTCCATAACCCAGATGTCCAGGTGAGGTGCCACATGCCCCCCCGGGGGCCAGACGTCCCTCTCTGGCCCCAAAACCCCTCAACGGACTCAGACCTCCGTCTGGGGCTCAGACCTACCTTCTGGCCAAAGAGCGTTAGGTGGAGGCCCAGAAGGCCATTCAGGTGAACATACTGGTAGCCAGTGCCTGTTCCTTAATTGGAGTCCAAATATCCAGGCTACACCTGATTCCCATTAAATCATCCTGAGGACCTGCCCTTGCCTCAAATCTACCACCTGGGCCCATAGCACCCCCTAGTGACTGCATCTTGCTAGAGCACCCAGACCTACATCCGGGCCTCAAACCTACATCCGGGTCTCAGACCTTCATGGCGGGGCCCCAGAAGGTAAACCAAGTGCACAGGCCAAAAACCTCAAACACAGAATTGTATCAGGAGACTAGATCTCTATGGGTAACAGCGAACTATTCCAGAACCCAGATGTTCAGGTGAGGTACGAGACTGCCCCAGGGTCTCAGACTTCCCTCCGGGCCTGAAATGTCCTCACAAACCAAGACCTCCACCTGGGGTCACACCTACATCTGGGACCCAGACTACCATGGCGGGGCTGAAAAGATTATCCCAGGGCCCAGGCCTCAAACACAGAATCCAGTCTTGTCTCAGGGGTGTACTTCTCAATTTGTAACCCAGACCACCATTTCCATAACCCAGAGGTCCAGGTGAGGTAGCAGACTGCCCCCAGGGGCCCAGGCGTCCCTCCCTGGCCCCAAAGGCTCTCAAAGGACCCAGACCTCTGACCGGGGCTCAGACCTACCTCCTGGCCGCAGAGCATTATGTGGAGGGCGAGAGGCCATTCCCAGGAACCATACTGGAAGCCAGTGCCTGTTCCTTAATTGGAGTCCAAATATCCAGGCTACACCTGACCACCATTTCATCATCCCCAGGACCTGCCCTTGCCTCAAATCTCCCAACTGGGCCCATAGCGCCCCCTAGTGACTGTACTTCGCTAGAGCACCCAGACCTACATCCGAGTCCCAGACCATCATGGCGAGCCAAGAATGCCAATCAGGGGCCCAGACCTCAAACACTAAAGAAAGTGGTGTATCAGGGGACTAGATCTCCATAAGGAGCCCAGATCACTATTCCATAACCCAATGTCCAGTTGAGGTACCAGACTGCCCACCCTCTCTGTCCCTACCTGCCCTCCCAGGATCCAGACCTCCATCAGGGGCTCAGACCTCCATCCAGGTCCCAGAACATCATGGCAGGGCCCCGATGAATATACGGGAGTCCAGGCCTCAAACACAGAATCCAGTCTTGTATCAGGTGTGGAGTTCTCCATCTGTAACCCAGGCCACCATTCCATAACCCAGATGGAATATTAGGTACCAGAATGCCCTCCGGGGCCCACACTGCCCTCCCAGGACACAGACCTCCATCTGGGGCTCAGACCTCCATTTGGGTCCCAGACCTTGTTTTGTTTTTGTTTTTTTTTTTTTTTTTTTTTTTTAATTTAATTTAATTTTATTTTTCACAGGGAGGAAGAGTGGAATAGAAAGGTAGAAACATCCATGAGAAACATGGTTCAGCTGCTTCCTGCACACCCCTCACTGGGGATGTGCACACAACCAAGGTACGTGCCCCTGACTCAATTTGAACCTTGGACTCTTCAGTCCATCAGCCTGTGGACTGAAAGGTCCTGGGTTTGATTTCGGTCAAGGGCACCTGCCTGGGTTGTGGGCTTGATCCCCAGTTGGGGACGTGCAGGAGGCAGCCAGTCCATGAATGATTCTCTCTCATCATTGATGTTTCTCTCTCTCTCTCTCTCCACCTCTCCCTTCTTCTCTGAAATCAATTTTCTTTTTTACAAAAAGGTGCCAGGGCGCCAGTGGAGGCTGTTTCTGTTCGATCGGATACCCTCTTGCCCAGCAATCAATAAATGGTACTGGTTCTCCCGCGCCCGGAGGCCCTGGCCCAGGAACAGGGGGTAACAGAGGAAGAGGCGCCCCTCACTGTCTCACTGCAGGGTCTGCACGCAGGACTATGTATTTACTCTCTGAGCCCAGAAAGTGGGGATCGGCTGGGTCAGAAGTCTTGGTTTCCAGGGAATAATGCATTCCACGAGGGGCCATTTTGCCCTGTCTACAGGTTTCCATAGAACCGCAGGGACCCTCCCTGCGCGCCACATTTACTAAATGGACTCATTCAACTCCTCCCACAGCTCTCGGGGGTGGGGGAGCACCCAGCCGGGGCGGGCTGGGGTCCCCGCCGGAGGCCAGGGCTCAAAGGTGGATTCCTGGATCTGGTTCCGGAGCAGCCCGTGGTTTGCTCCACGCAGGCCCGCCAAGCATCTCCTCCCCAGGGCGGGGGAAGGCAGCGTTTGGAGCCGGGAAGCCAAGCGTTAACGGTGGAGACACACGTGCAGCTCAGACAGGGGCTGCCTCAGAGCCACCGCCGACATCCAGCGTGGAAGGTGGCTGAGTAATTCCTACCAGGAGGGAGAGTTCGCCCCCGGCAAACCGCACCCGGCGGCGCTGGGTGCCATCGGCGTGGGCACTGCCCGGCGGCCCGGCCCTCCCCGCCCTCCCTCCGCGCTCTGCGCAGCGGCCGGGTCATTTCCAGCCGCGGCGTCCTCCGGTCCCAGCCGCCTGCAAACCTGCGCCCCGGAGATCAGGATGCGCCGCGGAGGAAGAGGTGGGGTTGGGGTGTCGGCGGCGGGGAGTGTCGGGGGAGGGCCTGGGTTTGGGGCGCCCGCCCGCCGTGACGCGCGCCCCCCGCCCGCTGCAGCGCCGCTGCAATGGCCGAGCGGGACCTTCAGACGCCGCCGCCGCCCGCGGGGAGCCCCGGTGAGCAGCCACCAGCCACCCCGGTGCCCTGTCCCCGGCCCCCGGCCCCCGGCCCCCGGTGCCCGGCCCCCGGTGCCCGGCCCCCGGTCCCCGGTCCGCGCGCCGCCGCCATCCCGGCGGGCCTCCGCGCTTCCCACGCCTGGCACCGTGCGCCCGGGGGCTCCGGGGCTCTGCGCGGCGGGATGGCGTGGGGTGGCCCGGAGATGCCCTGGAGTGGCCAGGAGGTGGGCCAGGCTTGGGCCAGGGGTGACCGGGATGGCCCGGAGGCGGCAGGGCGCGTCTTGCCTGCCGTGGCGTCTGGGGGCGGGGGTGTCTCAGCCTCCCCAGGCGCCCTCGGCCCATCTCCCCACGCCCTTCCCCCGGAACCCGGGGTCACAGGCCCAGGGGGACGGGCCCCGGTGGCGCAGGTGCCGCTCCTGGCCCTGGAGGCCGCAGCTTCCGGCGGTGTGTGTCGCCGGCTGAGCCACGCTCGGGAAGGCGCGGCCCCTGCGGGGATTTTATTTCTATATTTTGGTGTCCAATGTTGCAATCTCAGGTTTTCCGGCTTCCGGGGTGGCAGGGTGGCTGTCGGATGCTGACACCCACTGGAAGCCACAGAAGGAGGAGGGTTCGATTGGGGTCAGCGTTCCCAGCAGAAACCTGCCTGCTGGGCCTTAGCCCAGTGCCTCCCTCGGGGAGGGGCGGGGGATTGTAGCAATTCCTTCTTGCTCTGCCTGTGGCCTTCTGATCCACACTCCCTTCCTGCTGGGAGGGCAGCGGGAAAGGTTCCCACAGTTGCATGCTGTCCGCAATGCCAGGACCACGGTGGTGGGTGGTGCGGGCACATCCAGGCTGTGCCCTGAGGAAAGGCCCCTTTGCCCAGGCTGCACGGAGGGGCAGCTGCTGCTCAGGCCCGGGAGGTCCCGCTGAGGTGGCCTGGGGGAGGGGAGCAGAGGGATGGAGCGTGAGCGCACTGGACCCCCCCAGCCCTCTGGCCGTTTTTCTGAAAGCTGAGTTGTGCCCATGAATTAGGACTGGCTTTGGCAAGGGCCTGCAATGCTTCCTCCCACATCAATGGCCAGGACGCAGAGCCTGGGGACGCAGAGCCCTGCCAGCTCCCAGGGAGCTTCACGGTGAGGAAGGTAACTTCCCTCCCAGAGTGCTTCCAGGATTTGTCCGCGGACGCAGGAGGCTGGTGATGGCTCTCAGAGGAACAGCCCGCGTGCCTGTTGGTCTGGGATGGGGCTGCTGTGTCTGTATCCACGTGGCACCTGCCTGGGGTCCTGGCCGCTAACTGGGAAGAGAGTCAACAGCCTGCATCTCCCTTCTGGCCTGAACTGGTCCACATTCTCCCAAAATTCAGATGGTTGGAAAAAAGGAATTTTTATACTAGTGCGTTTCCATTGGGGGCTGGTAAAGCTATCATTTCATTTAAAAAAATGTTTGTTGGTTGATTTTAGAGAAAGAGAGAGAGAAGCATCAATTTGCTGCTCCACTTGTTTATGCACTTATTTGTTGATTCCTGTGTGCCCCCCTGACTGGGGATCGAACTCGCCAACTTGGCTTATCAGGCTCTAACCAATTTAGCTCCTCAGCCAGGGCCTTCATTTCTACTTTAAATCAGATTCCCAGGCAAACTGCTGCATCCTGTACACGTTTATTGTTTCAGGACTCTGTGTTGAGACATGACTGGCATTTATCATCCATACTGATGCCACCTGCTGGGAGCCAGGCACAGAAGGGGAGAGAGGCAGCCGACAGATGGTCGGTGGTTGGTGCAGTTCAGGTGCCCAGAGCCACAGCGCGACCCCGCAGCCATCCTCTCGCAGGCCTGGCACCCCAGAGCCACACCCCTGATGGCAGTTGGCAGCATCATGGCCAACAAGTTCCAGGGCCCTGCCCACTACAAGTTAGCTTTCAGGCTATTTGCAAGATCTGGGACATTGTGAACAGTGCATGACAATAAACAGTTATTAAAAATAAAAAAATAAAAAAATAAAAGAGGAGAGTGGTAATAAAAAGTCACCCATTTCTCTTTTTTTAAAATATGTTTTTATTGATATCAGAGAGAGGAAGGGAGAGGGAGAGAGGGGTAGAAACATCAGTGATGAGAGAGAATCACTGATTGGCTGCCTCCTGCATGCCCACTACTGGGGATGGAGCCTACAACCAGGCATGTGCCCTGACTGGGAATTGAACCATGGCCTCCTGGCTTAGCCACTGAGCCACACCGGGAGGGTAAAAAGTCTCCCATTTCATGGCACTAGCTCTATGCCGGGCACTGCTCTGATTTCCCCACCTGTGTTAAGGTGCATCAGTAGCAGCCTGAGGGCAGAGCTGGCTAGAGAGGGGAAGGGCCTTGTCCAATGGAAAAGCCGGTGTAGGATCCATGTCTTTCCATTGTCATCCAGGGTCTCAAGGGGTATCCTCTGGGCCTGGGTCTCACACTAGGCCTATGTCCTCAGCTCTGTACCCCCTCCCCCAGCAGGTTGGCCCAGGCCACCCCTCCACACTCACCGGCTGCCTGGAGGCGGCCTCTCAGGTCAGCATCATGTCTGTGACTCACAGAGAGGGCACTCCCACCCCCACTGGTGCTGGGCAGAGGGAGTCCCACCCCTCCTGGTGCTGGGCGGCCTCCAGCCAAGATGACCAGCTGTCTGTCTGCCTTCTTCTCTCTGGTGTGATGGCTCCTCCCGTTGGACATTACGATATTAGAAATGATTAACCAAACCCGGTCTGGAAGAGCCACTCGCACCAGCTTCATTTGGCTCGTCCTGCGAACAGCCCTTCTCACCGACAAGCTTCGCGATCACTGTTTCTGAGTATGGCTGCATGCCTGGCCTTCCTGCTGCTCAGGGGGCCCCAGGTGTGTGCTTCTCTCTCCTGCCTCTGCGCTCATTGTACGAAGCCTTTGTAGGGCACCTTTTGTGTCCTAAACAGGGATTCTGCCAGCTTGCAGTTTCTAATCAGAGGCTTTCTAGGCTGGGGTCCCTCGTGCAAAAGTCGCAGGCAATCCAGATCATAGCAGGAGCACAGGGCTCGGCCGGCTGCCCCCAGCACTTCTCTCCGGAGCACTCATAGGCACGGGTCTGAGGCTTGCATGCCAGCTGTGAGGAGAAGCATATCAGTCACAGGTCTTGAATGTTGGGGGGAGGGTGTTCCTTGGGGACCTCGATGAATAAGGCCTTCTTCAGAGAGAGGCACGTTTGCTCTTGTGAGAACCTAGCTGGGGACACTTTAAACCCAGCTCCCAGTTTTTTCCCTTGTTCCACTCACCTGCAGGGGTGCAGACCAACATGGCAGCACCTGTCAGAGATTAAGGGCTGTTTGGCAGATACGGGAGTGGGAGAGGTGTTGGCAGGTGAGGCTGCGGCAGGTGGGGTCTGCCGGAGTCTAGGCTAGAGCCACCACCAGACAGGACCGCCCAGCAGATGGGCCAGTCCCTGCACGGCTGGTGCCCTAAGCTAGGTCACCAGTCAGGGAGAGCTGGCTGGCAGTGTAGATTGAGGCGGGGCCACCACCTGGTTCCAGTGGAAGGCGTGGTCTGGGATCTGAAATCATGAATAGAATCATTAGGGGGGCAGCACCATGGACAGCACCCAAAGGCAGTTCAACAGAAATGGGGATGACTGCTCTTCACTACAGGGGCTTCTCCTGGCCCTGCCAGGGCTTAGGCAGGGAGGGTGCTGGGCTCCTCCATGTGCCTAAGGAGAGCAGCTGGCTCCTCTGGGTGCACGGGATGCTGCTGGCTGCTTTGGGGCTCATTAGGGCAGATTTCTGAGGACTTCTGTGTCGACTATGTCTGTTTCATTTCTCTAGGAGCCAGAGCAGTGATTCTAAAAGCTGGACCCTTAACTGGGAGGTTCAAAGAAAATTCTTCCTCCAATGAGCATGGTTCATTAGTGACAAAAATGTCCCCTATGATGTCGTGCGGAGTGACACCATGTTCTTCTTAGACACCAGGTGGCTTATGGGAGCTTGTCTTTTTTTTTTTTTTTTTTTTTTTTTTTTAATGGATTTCAGAAAGAAAGGGAGAGGGAGAGGGAGAGGGAGAGGGAGAGAGAGAGGGAGAGAAGCATCAATGATGAGAAAGAATCATTGATCAGCTGCCTTCTGCACACTCCCTACTAGGGAAGGAGCCCAAAATCTGGACATGTGCCTTGACCAGGAATCAATCTATGACTTCCTGGTTCATAGGTCAATGCTCAACCCTGAGCCACACAGGCCAGGGCACTTGTCCTGATAATTACCCTCAGAACAATTGGTTTGAGAAATGGTAGAATTGGTTTAAATTTAATGTCTTTTTTCAGTCAACATTTGGGAAGAAATTAAAGCAAAGCTGGCTTTGCCCAAAAGCCTTTAGGCGGCGACGAAATCAGAACAGGTGAGGACCGAGGAGAGCACTGGTCATCTGAAAGCTGGCCCACGGTGGGGCCAGAGCAGGTGCCGCCAGCCCTCCCTGGCGCCATGTGAATTGCCATGAGCCAACGTTTTATTGTTTTGTTTTTAAATATATTTTATTGATTTTTTACAGAGAGGAAAGGAGAGAGATAGAGAGTTAGAAACATTGATCAGCTGCCTCCTGCACACTCCCCACTGGAAAAGTGCCTGCAACCAAGGTACATGCCCTTGACCGCAGGCTGACGCTCTATCCACTGAGCCAAACCGGTCTCGGCTGAGCCAACATTTTAATTAAAGCCTGATCTCACTTTATTTATTTATTTTTTTCCATTTTAAAATTGTGTGTAAACTTGGGAACTTGGTTGGTGGGAGACTAATGAGCTGCTCCCTCATCCTCTGTCCCCACAGCGCATGCACAGAATTCGAGCCCGAGTCTGCAGCTCAGTGCTGGGACTGGGGACCGGCCATGCCCTTCCTGAGGGCCCTCGGCCAGCATCGCTGGCTTGTGGTCAGCTAGTGCCTGTCTTCCCAGAAGCCTGGCTAGAGAGTTGGGAGGTTGGAGTCCAGGGTGGCCTTGTCCTGCTGGCCAGTGGGGCCTGGGCTACTCATGTCCCCTCTGA